ACCTCTCTTCACAGCACTCACTTCTCAGTGTTTATCAGATTTTTTTTTTTTGAGGTTTTTGCTATAGGGTGCGTGCACTTGCCAGAAAGGCAGAGACAGAGAGACAGGAAGCAAGAAATCACCCCCCAGGGTGGACGGCCACACCGCAATCCCTTCTCTTCCATTTTCCTCTCAGGATCTTGGGCACACACGCACACATGCCAGAGGTGAGTTTAAGCCACCGGGTCAGGGACTCAAACCATGGTCAACTACATGGGAGTCCTTCGACTAATAGTCCATTACGCCATCTGCTAGTCCCAATTGTTTTTTTAAATCTATTCATTTGTTTACCTGTTTATTACCTATCTCTTATTACCACCAGCGTGTAAGTTAAGTAAGACTGTCCTAGTTCTGGCAGAGCATCTAGCACAGTGTGCTGTTAATACTGCAGTAATTTTTTCCTAACTACATGAACGTGTTTAAGAGGAGGGAAGGAGGCTGGCAGGTGGCATGATGGTTAAAGGCGCTGGACTCTACATGGCCAACCGTAGTCTGAGTTCCAGACCAGACAACTTGCTTTCTCACTCCCCCCCCCTCTCTGTCCCTCTCTGGTCAAATTAGTATGAAATAAATGAATAAATAAAGTTAAATGAAATAATTCTTTTGAAAAAAAGGACAAGAGTAAAAGAAGTTTATCACTAGCCAAAAGGCTGAGGTGGGTTGTGGCCTTGTCTATGCAGTCCTTGGGTCTAACCTTACTCTCCCAGATTTGAGGTACCCCCAGCTCATCCTCAGCTTCGACTCTGTTCTCCAGGTGGGCCTGCCAGCCAAGTCAGCTGTGTCGGGAGCCATCCTCTTGGTGGTACCCAATGTCATGGGAATGATGTGTCTGTCACCTCCACTGGATAAGCTGGGGAACAGCCACAGGGGCATCAGCTTCTGCCAGGTGAGCTGTCTGCATACAGTACTTAATACTTTTGAATTAAGCAATAAATTTAACTGTAGAAACTTTAAGTAAATACAGTAGCCACTCCCCACCCTAGCCACAGTTCTAAGACCCCCAGTAGATGCCTGAAACTGAACATAGTACTGAACCTAATATATTTCTTCCTGTACATATGATAAACTTAGTAGTATTATTATTTAATTTGCTATAGGGCACATGCACTCACCAGAGAGAGAGAGGGAAAGTGAGAAAGCAAACTGCTAGGCCATGTGGGAGTCTGGTGTCTTAACCACCATGCTACCTGCTAGCCTACATGTTATTTTTTTAAGAGGTTTTTGCCTTAGGGTGGACTCACTGGAGACAGAGACAGTGAGAGGGAAAGTGAGAAATCACCCTCCAGGGGAGATGGCCATGCTGCAATCCCTTCTCCATTCTCCTCCTGGGATTGTGGGCATGCACATCCCTGTGCCCGGTGGGAGTTTCAAGCCACTGGACCCAGGACTCAAACTGTAGTCAGCTATGTGGAGTTCAGTGATGTAACCTCTACGCCATCTGCTGGCCCCCATATGATAAATTTTAAGTAAAAAAGATTTTTTTGTTAATTTGACAAAGAGCACATGTGCGCACCAAAGAGAGAGAGGGAGCACCCCCTAATAAGGCACAGTCTGGCTGAAATCCCCTCTCCATTTCTCCATCCTGTCAAGATAGGGCACGTACACACATGCACCCAGCGAGTTTTATAAGCTGCGAAGGCCAGGATTCAAACCAGGTTGGCTATGTGGGATCTAGCTCCTATAACCAGTAGGCTACAGACTGGCCCAACAATGTTTAATTTATAAATTAAGCAGAATGAGATTAACAACAAATCATAGAAAAATTATAACAATGTACTGTAATAAAAGTTATGTGAATGTAGTCTCTATCAAAATATCTTACATACTGAACTCACCTATTTTTGGACTGTGGTTGACCAAAGGTAACTGGAACCACAGGTGACAAAACCATGGAAAAGAGGAACTAGTGTGAAGCAATTTTGAACTCATACTAAGTGCTCTTTTGGCTTACAATTCTAGAAACTGGTGTCTCTCTTCAATTTCCACAATTACGACAACCTACGGCATTGTGCACGGAAGTTAGACCCACGACGCGAAGGGGGAGAAGTTCGGGTAAGGAAACGGCCAGGGGGCTTCCATAACACTTCACCCATGGCTAAGCATCTATGGAGAGGATCAAAGGGAAGAGCTGGGCATGGGCAGTTTCAAAGCCCCAGTTAATCCCAGGTGGGTATGATTTATGTTCCAGAACAAGACTGTGGTGAACCTGTTATTTGCTGCCTACAGTGGCGATGTCTCAGCTCTCCGAAGGTAATTTTACTGTGACCAGATATACATAATAAAATACTCCTGGCCTAAACATCTTATTAGGGGACAATGTAGCCTCCCCCCGAAAAAAAAAGTTTCAGGTTTAAAAAGAATGGACATAGACTGCATTTAAATGAGTTTCTGTTGTTTTAAGAATTATTTTAGTTAACTTTATTTCAATCTAATGAGAGAGCACGAGCGAGCAAGCGAGCAAGCAAGCCACCAGGTCTGGGACTCAAAATGCGGTCGGCCATGTGAGAGTCCAGCTTCCTTAACCACCATGCCCCCTGCCAGCCCCCCTCTGCCCTTTTATTAAGTGCAGTCTGGCTCTATAGTGCAGTGGTTAATCATCACAGTGCATAGAAAGCAGATTCTGAATGGCTGACCTCAATTCAAATCCTAGTCCTAGCAACTTAAAAATACACTGGATACATCTGTGTGCTCAAAGTCCTGATGGAACAGAGAAGTGGAGGAAAAAGGACTGTAGTGTGACCACATCCTCATTTAGGATGCTTTCTCTCTGGTGAGCTCACATGTCCTCTGGCAATTAAAAAAAAATAGAGCCTGCCATATGATAATAATACTATTAATTAATGGTAGCCACTGTTAGTAACTGGGCATTAAGAGCAGAGTCCTGGGGTCAGCAGGTGACATGATGGTTAAGGGCTAATCACTTCCACTACAGTTTGAGTCCTAGACCTGGTGGCTTGCTTTCTTACTTTCCCTCTCTCTTTCACTCTGACCCCTCTGGTCAAATTAAAATAAATAAATAAAGTTAAATAAAATAATTCTTTAGAGAGAGAAAAAAAAAAAAAAAAGAGTCCTGGGGCTGACAGGTGGTGTGGTAGTTAGATGCTGGGCTCCCACATGACAGACCATGGTTCGAGTCCTGGACTTAGCAACCTACTTTCTCACTTTCCCTCTGTCTCTCACTGGTCAAATGAAAAGAACAATAATAATAAATTAATAACTCTTTTTTTAAAATAAATAAATAAAGAGCAGAGTCCTAGAAAGTAGGGACACTTTCTAAATGATTTATCAACATCAACATGTATGGGGCACCTACCACAGGTAGGGAGTAATGTTTCTAGAAGCAGCACACTCTCATTTCTCTGTGGGAATAAGTCTCGTCTGGGCACAGAACATAGATTATAGAGAGCCTACAGATCATGGCATAAACTGTTTTGCCTTTTCTGGAACCCACTTGGCCTGACAGTTCAGAAAGAACACTAGTGATTCTAGACTGATCTGAGTAATTCTAGTTGTTTTCCACTACCCTCAGGTTTGCTTTGTCAGCCATGGATATGGAACAGAAGGACTATGACTCTCGCACAGCTCTGCATGTTGCTGCAGCGGAAGGTATCTGAAGGGTTGAAGAGGGGAAGCAGATTCTCAGACCTTTTCTCAGCTACCGAGAGTATCCCCATTGTATGTGCCCTCAAGGTTACAGGTGGCAACTATCAATAGTTTTGCCCAAATGTCCTTCAGTTCATAGCCAAACTGTTCCTGTGTGCTGCAGGGAGTGGAGTGGAAGAGGTCTTTTCCCCTTCCCCTTAGAAGGGAAACTCCAGCTGCCATGGGTCTGAACCAAAGGGCTCAGGGCCTGTACCCTCTCATTTCCTCTGCCCACATTTAGGACATATTGAAGTTGTTAAATTCCTGATCGAGGCTTGCAAAGTGAATCCTTTTGTCAAAGATAGGTAAGTAGGATTAAGCTAAATGGGGGGAGGACAGCTTCTCCACAATTCCCTTCAGCCACCATGCACATGTATTCAGCCGTGGCACTCTGTCATCTCTGCGTGATGATCATTGTTCTTCTCAGGTGGGGCAATATTCCCCTGGATGATGCTGTGCAGTTCAACCACCTGGAGGTGGTCAAACTGCTTCAAGATTACCAAGACTCCTACACACTCTCTGAGACTCAGGCTGAGGCAGCAGCTGAGGCCCTTTCCAAAGAGAACTTAGAGAGCATGGTGTGAGCATGGGTGATGGACAGTCCTTGCTCAAGAAAAAGAATGAGCTGACCAGATACTTAATCCATAACCATCAGAAATGCTATGGAGAACTACACTGCTTCAGTGGGGACTGAGAAAGTCATTTGGTGACTTAAGCCAGTGCTTTCTAAGTCAGAATACCCCGTTCCCTCAGCAGACTTGTTACAGAAAAGCACCTCGATGGACACCTGCAATAAAGCATCCACAGAGACTGTGAGCTGCTTTGACTGAAGCCTAATGGCTGGGCCCATTCAAAACTATCCCAGATCTTCACACTGGTCCCCTCTTCCTCTGCCTTGAAGAAATCATGAGGGAGAGACGTTCTGATAAAGGGGCTCTAGTACATACCCACAGAGTAACGGAAAGAGGGGCTTATGTACCTGGCTTTTGTCTGGAGAGATCTGCTCCCCTTGGCTAGCACGTGCAGCTGCTATCGCTAACAGCAATTTTGTAGACAGAGAAAGTATTTTGTGCTCAAATAAACTTTAATTACACAAATTATTATTTTTGCTTAATCCAGTCCTTCTCTTTCTCCCCTGGGGTGCAGGGGGGTGGGGGTGTATCCAGCTTCATCACCATCATAGAAGGTAGGATAAGATGGAACCACAGGGTCAGGCAGAGCCCAAATATGTATTTCACATACATATTCATTTACCCCCACCCCCAGATTTTCCTCAACCCCCAATACTGCTTTAGGTTAAGTGTTATCCTGCTGTCAGAGAGCAAGGATTTGGGTCTCAACAGGCCCAACAATGGATTGTGCAAAACTCTAGGCTTCCCTCCGTCTTCTGGAGAAATGAAGATAGAACTTCTCAAGAATAAAGTTTCTAGCATTAACCCACTATACATCCCCAAAGGGCTGTCTTCCCCTTTGGTCATCGTTATAACTGGCACGATTATTATGACTGACTGGCTAATTTCAGAGATGTACAGATTAAGGGGCATGGACTCGGTGGAAGAACAGCTGCAGCTGTGTGGGGTGAGGGTCTGCGGCACTGAGGTACTGGAGAAGGAGGGTTCTGTTCTCACTCTGACAAACCGAGTCAATAAAGCACTTACTGAAAGAGCCAGCGCCCAGACTCAATGCTGTTGCTAAAGGGCCAAGTCACTGACTGTACCACTCCTCCCGCCAGAGGTAGGATTTACTCTGGAAAGATTTGTTAGAGCCCCAAGAACAAAAAGAAGTCACATGTGGGTAAAGGGAGGAAGTGTCAGTGATGAATAAATTCAGACAAAGCTAAAAGACTCCAGAACTGAACAGTCTGAGAAAGGCCTGGGTACAAGTAGCCAGAGCAAACGAAGGAGGCAAGTTGGGGAACATATACCCACGGGAGCCTAAGAAATTAAAAGTAGTTTGAGTGGGGATGTGGGTTGGCTGTAGCTTTCACAGAGTATGGGAGAGAGGAAGATGACTAAGATATTGCACAAAGAACCCACCACTGAATTGTGGGAACTGGTGATTGATTGGGGCAAAGTAAAAAGGCTTCAGACTCTTTCAAGCTGGAGGCTGGCCAAGAGCAAAGCGCATGATTAGGGACTCGGGTAATGGACACACTAGAGGCTCTCAGGCACCTCAAGCCCTGAGTGGGTCAACAGCTCTCCATCCCAAAGAGCAAAGGCAGGCACCACTGGACCCCGGAAATTTGTCTGTAGCGTATGGACCACAGAGACCTTGCTCACATCCACCAGGCTCAGCTTCTGGGCCTCATACTCCAGCAGCAGCCCCACCTTCTCTGGCTGCCCAATACCCTCAACTGGGGCTTTCTCGTTGGCCAACATGGTGTGCCACTTGCGCTGGGCATAGGTGAATACCCAGGAACGATCGTCAACACCGATGCAGCTATCCCGGGACATGTCCACATCTGCCACTCCTATTCGGAATTGCTGGGAGCGCTTCACTGTCACTTCCCAGTAGTGTCTGCCATTGGTGACCGCTGTGTCTGCCAGTACCACTGCCCACTCCCGGAACCGCTCCACATTCAGGGCCACCTGGGTGGGTTCCAATCCCACCAAACCATATTTGACACCTGTGTCACCTCTGAAGAGAGCCAGGCTGCTGTGGGCGGTCTTTTCTTCCAGTTTGAAACTGATGCCTGTGGGCAAAGCAAAAAGACTGGATAATGACAGGGGCTACAATCCTAGGGCTGGCGATACATTCCAATCTGGAGCAAGCAGTTATGAGATTTCAAGGAAACAGGGAAGTTAGAAGGCCAAGCGGACAGGAGAGGACTCGCTTTAGTATGCGCAGCCCAAAGAACCAAAAAAAGTCGGAATGGGGAAACCCGGGGATTGAAAGAAACCGGACGGTATCCCAGGTTTGGAATTGAAAACAACGCAGATGGCAGGAGGAGAAATGACTCGAGAGGGTTGGAGTTTCTCCGAGCAGGATCAGGGAAAGACAGACGCAAATCATCTGGGAGAGAAAACGGTAAAGGGAGAGAAAACAGTAAAAGGAGATATCTTACCTCTCCGTGCTTCTGCGGCGCCAAGACCCAATCGTTTGGCTCCCCAGAGGCACAAGCGCAACGATCGTGCTAAGGGAAGCGCCATCTTGCGCCACGAACAAGGCACGCCCCCGGCTGGAGACCCCCTATCTGCGATACCGCCTAGCACGTGGTGCGCGAGAAGCGGCCGCGCAGGGTGATGACGGTCGCGCCGGGTGATGACGTAAGGGCCAACGCTCCGCAGGGAAGCGTTGCTGGCGTTCTGTCGGTTCCCATTCAGGTTGAGGCCGTGTGTTCTATTTTTCTAAGGGGAGGACGGCTGCTCACATTTTAACTAGATAGGACATTTGCACATGCGGTGTAGCCAAATCCTTAAAAGTATGGATTTTAAAGTTAAACAATAACTGGGTTTGAACCTGGCTCCAGTGTGTGACTTTGGACAAATCTCTTCTGAATCTTTGTGTTCTCGTTTGTAAAACAAGTAAGACGCAGCCTCTAGACCTTAGTAAAACTTAAAAAATAATAATCTAGAACACAGCTTGGAAAATAGCAACCACTGTGTAAGTAGCAGTTGTTTATAATAAGTATTAAATTTAAAAATGCTGTAAATGAGGGCTGGCAGGTGGTGTGGTGGTTAGGGGCGCTGGATTCCCACATGGTTGGTCACTGTTCGGGTCCCAGACCTAGCGACTTGCTTTCTCTCTCCCTGTACCTCTCTGGTCAAATAAAAAACGAAATAAAGTTAACATAATTGTTAAAAATATTTTTAAAGTCAGACATGTATTCACAGATTACATATGTCAGCTAACGTTGCTATTGAAAGTTGTTAGATTGTTTAAGATAAGTTTGTGAAAAAAAAAAAAAGATAAGTTTGTGGATCAATAAAATGTGGGGGGCGGGAAGGAATGGAAAGCAACTGTAAACACCAGAGATAGTGTGGGAGGAGGGTGGGAAATGGCAGAAGGTCACAAACGGGGAAAATATGTATATGTATACATATATATATATATACACACACACACACACACACACACACACACACACACACATTCATATATATGTATATAAAGCTAGAAATGGAAAATTATTGATGATGACATGTATTATTAAGCCACTATGCAGTATATTCTGGATGGGAAATCATATTTTGTTATGCTATGACGATGCTCAGTGAATAAATGTAAAATTAATTAATTAAAAATAAAATATTAAGCAATCAGGAAAAAATTGTTATGGATACTGGGGACAAAGTGGAAGGGGGGGGGGAGGGGAAAAGAGAATGAAAGGGAAATTTGGGAAAAAATGGAGAAGTAAGACATTTGTGGGACACAGATATGGTTTGTTGCCTGTCGGTGATGTTGTGTATAGTATTCGCAACTTGCCTGGTGTGTGGCATATATCATGTTGGGTAAAATTTCTTTACAATCTAAATGTTGTACAGCGATTGAATGTATAAATAGTAATAATAAATAAGTTTTTAAAGTGAATTTCTTATTTTTAAAAATGCTGTAAATGTTGGTTTTGTATTTTGAGAGTTAAGAGTGAATGGTTTAACTCAATATTCAATTTTCCCAGGTTAATAAAAATAATCAGTATTTTAGTTAGGGATGAGACAGGTTGGAACAGGATGTAACTGAGCGATAAGAGAACCAAAGTGTATTTATTTTTAAATTTTTGCCAGAGGGCACTTACGCTTGCCAGAGAGAGATAGAGAGAAAGTATCTCCACATGGAGAATGGTCATGCCACAATCCCTTCTTCATCATTTCTCCCTCCTTTCCAGATTTTGGGCACACACACACATAACATGTTTCCCAAGTTGCTAGGGCCAGAACTTGAACTGCAGAGTTGTCTGTGTGGAATCCAACTATCCTAACCAACCTGCCATAGGCTGATCTTAGAGTGTTATATCTTTCTTTCTTGTTTTAGATTTGTACTCACCGGAGAGAGTGGGAAAGTGAGGAGTCACCTCTTGGGGTTGGGGATGGTCACGCCACAATTCCTTCTTTTTTTTTTCCCTTGGAGAGGTTTTTTTTCTTATAGGGCACATGCGCTCGCTAGACAGAGAGAGAGATACAGAGAGACAGAAAGCGAGAAATCACCCCCCGAGGGGATGGCCACGCCACAATCCCTTTTCCTCCATTCTCTTCTTGGGATCTTAGGCACACACGCACACGCGCCCGGCGTGAGTTTAAGCCGCCGGGTCCAGGACTCGAACCCCAGTCGACTACGTGAGAGTCCAGCGACATAGCCATTACGCTTACTGCTGGTCCCAACAATTCCTTCTTTTCCATTCTCCTCTCAAGATTTTGGGCACCTACTCACATGTACCCATTGTTTTTCAAACTGCTGGGTCCAGGACTCTAACCACGGAGCTGGCCATGGGATCCAGCCCCTTAACCACTACACCATCTGCTGGTCTTAGAGTGCTATTTCTAAATCACAGATCTGATTATGCCACTCTCAGATTCATTATTTTTAAAGGAAATTTTTTAAAAAATTATTTAACTTTATTTATTATTATTTTCCAGTTTGATCAGAGAGAGACAGAAAAAGAAAGAGAGGGAAAGTGAAAAAGCAAGCCACCAGGCCCAGGACTCGAACCACAGTTGGCCATGTGAGAATCCAGCACCTTTAACCACCATACCTCCTGTTGGCCCCACCACTCTCCAATTTAAATCCTATAAGGTTCCTGCATCAAATTATCTTGCCATGATGTGGCTGCTACCTATCATCATTGTCACAAAACAGTTCTTTTTTTCAAGGGCCCACAGCCTAGTTGGGGGGTGGATGAGAATATGGGCTGTTGAAATATGAGGTACTGGGACCAGCAGTTGGCATGGTGGCTAAGATGCTGGACACTCACTCCCACATGGCCAACCACAGTTCAAATCCTGGACCTGGTGGCTTGCTTTCTCACGTTCTCTCTCTCTCTCTCTCTCATCAAATTAAAATGAATGAATGTTGAACAAATAATTCTTTAAAAAAAAGAAATATGATGTACTAAGTGCCATAATTGAAGTGATTACAGGATGTTCTAGAAGCAAAGGCAAAGCCTCTGATTTAGTATATGAGGGAATGTGGGGAGAGACTTTCCCAAAACCATAGCTGTCCCGTCCCGGGGGGACAGCTGAACAGGTTTCCTGAGTGAAGGAGTGAGAGCCGGGACAAGCGGCGTAGTGTTATAGCACGGAGACGACAGTGTCGTCCGTTTATTGTGGGCAGCACGGTACAGCACAGAGACGACGCAGTGTCACAGCTCTTAAGGGTCACGTCGTCTACTGTGAGCAGCATGGAGACGACGCGGTGTCACAACTCTTCAGGGTCTCCCAGGTCGTCTGGAGACGATGCAGTGTCAGCTCTTCAGGATCTTCAGGGTCGTCTGGAGACTGCGCGGTGTTTCAACTCTTCAGGCTCTTCAGTTGTCGTCTTCCTGGTCGTCGTCGTCGTCTGGTTACTGTGGGCCAGGCATCGTGGTTATATACACACTGGTGGGCTGTGATTGGTTGTAAACGGTGGGCCGTGATTGGTTGTTAACGGTGGGTTATGATTGGTTGGTTTTGGACCAATCATGAGGTGCCAGATATGCAAATCTGAGGGATTCTAGTGGCCAATCAGAGCAAGGTTTCGAAGGTCAGGTTTTGAAGGGAAGCCAATCATGGCTTTTGGCATTGTGTAATTGTTTGCTTTCTGAGAAACCATTTGACTCTCTGGTGCGCAGCCTCCTACACATAGCTATGGCTTGAAAGGCAAAAATGGATAAAATGAAGTGAGGGAACCCTGGCTTCCTCAAGATCTCCACTAAAGTCTTCTTCCCCAGTATGTATTGGGTCGTTGCAAGGTTATGATGCATTTTTGCATAGAAAAACACATCTTGACTTTCCCAATGACCTAATACATTCTCTTAAAGTATCTCATCTGTCTTGGTCTAGTCTACTGTCACCACTGTAAGAACACTCCTGAAATCTCTGCCCCATATTTATTTCCAGAGTTCCAGATCTGTATATTTAATAGCCCATTTTTACCTGGATGTCCTCCAGTTACCCCAAACTCAATATGTCCAAAGCTACCCTCATTTTTTTTTTTTTGGAGAGGTTTTTGCTATAGGGTGCGTGCACTCGCCAGACAGAGAGACAGAAAGCGAGAAGTCACCCCCCGGGGGGATGGCCACGCCACAATCCCTTCTCCTCCATTCTCCTCTCGGGATCTTGGGCATGCGTGCACATGCGCCTGGCATGAGTTTTAAGCCACCAGGTCTGGGACGCGAACCGCAGTCGACTACATGGGAGTCCAGCAACATAGCCATTAGGCTAACTGCTGGTCCCAGCTACCCTCATTTTTCTACACAAACTTCCTCCTGGATTCCCCTGAGTCAGTGAACTGCAACCCATATCCAGCCAGTTGCCAAGAAGCCCAGGAGTCCTTGATTTCTTTGTCCCTCTCATCTCACATATCTGATTATCCCTAAAGCAGACTACGCATTGGTCTTCTAACTGGTCCCACATTCTCCCCAGTGCTAGGGAGGGAGCATGCAAGCAGGAAGCTACCCATCTCAACCATTAGGTTATTCTTTCTTTTTAAATTATTTTATTTTAATTAATTAATTTATTTATTTATTTAACCAGAAAAGGACAGAGTGAGAGAGAGAGAAGGAAAGTTAGAAAGCAAGCCACCAGGTCCAGGACTCAAACCCTGGTCAGTCACATGGCAGTCCAGCGCCCTTAACTACCATGCCACCTGCTGGTCCTAGGTTATTAATTTTTTTGGGGGGGGGAGGTTTTTGCTATAGGGCGCATGCACTTGCCAGAAAAACAGACAGAGACAGAGAGATAGAAAGTGAGAAATCATCCCCTAGGGAGGATGGCCATTCCTCCAATCTCTTCTCCATTCCGGCATGAGTTTAAGCCTCCGGGTCAGGGACTCGAACTGCTTGGCTACATGGGAGTTTAGTGACATAGCCATTATGCTAACTGCTGGTCCCATTAATTCTTAAAAATAGAGATTAAGGCCTTTTTTATTTATTCATTTTTTTCTCCATGGCCTCAGTAGTCTCCTTGCACAGGTTATGTGCTCATTGTTTTTGAATGAGTAAATGAGTGATTATAAAAAGAGGGTTTTGTGCCCACATTTTTTGGAATGCAGTGGCTTGTTCTTTCCACTAGGAGTCAGCATTGTCCAGCCTGTTCAGTCTGCTTAAATGTGTATGATTCCTATTAAACCCAGCAGTTAAGTGCAGGGGAGGAGAGATTTCCTTCAGAAAGGTCCTGCACTGGCAGTACTTTGTCTTTCTGTATTAACGAGAGGAAGGTTTCAGGAGTGTATTTCTGTAGTATTTCTCCTGTTACAACCTGGTGTGAGGACTGAAGTAATCACTGAATGTCCACATTGTCACTTAAAACACTCAACCATTAATTACTGTATGCCCACTCAGGGAATAGATCTGTCATCTCTTGTATTATTTCATCTCTACAGATTTTTTTTTTTTTTTTGGAGAGGTTTTTGCTATAGGGTGTGTGCGCTTCCCAGACAGACAGAGAGAGACCGAGAGACAGAAAGCGAG